CATCTGAGTACGAGGTATGAACAACAATATTATAACTATCAGTTAAATTTATCTTCTCAAAAATCTTACTTTTAATAAAAGTAATAGTTAAGAACTTTTTCATTTTCCGCTCCATTTGGTCGTTATAATATCCTTCAATTCTATTGCATAAAGCAATAATTGTTTTTGTTCCTACAAACAGAACTCCACAAATAAATACAAATGTAAATATGCATTACAATGATTTGGCACTTAAAAAAACGGAGAAACAATATATTAGAATTTATAACAAGGAAAACCTTCTTAAAGGAATGAGGGAGGGAAACCCTGGCCACCATGAGCCTCCGCTCGTTCACTGTACAGAGGAGGCTCGCTACTGTAAACTGGTACAACAAAGCATCTTTTTTGTGGAGAAAATGTCAGGTTTGTTTCCAATTGAAGTTAAATAAACTAGGTTAATTATTAAACTGTTTTATAATTAAATCTAAGCTAATGTCCGAGAAAGGCAGCATATCTAAAAAATCTCTTCATTTCTGAAAAGGTCGGGCACAGAAGATCTGCTGAACTCTTACAGGCGCGTAACCGCACCCCCTAAAAACCCATAAAATTTAAGCTTTATTAATCTACTTGACTATTATACTATTCCGACCATAATTACCAATTATACCATTATGAAATCTAGTAGAAAAGGAGCAAAAAAACTTTAAAAAATATATATTTTATTTTTTTGAGTATATCATATATCATAAATCATATCAATATCAATCATATTATGACTAGATTACACCGGAGACAGTATTATTTAAAGCTTAATCAAACTCTGTGTCAAACATCTTTCTCTGAGAGACTGAAATGGATTTTAAATGAAACCCCGCGATAAAAATACTGTAAATAAGATTAAGGTAAAAGAACGAATTTGAGAAATTATCATAAAATGGAAAGATTGTGACGTTGTCAATTGATAAGAAAAGAATTTTTTTTTAATATACTTGTAAGTTTAATATATGAGAGCCTGCCTTTGGCATATCTAGTGGTACAAGCCCCCCCCCCCCCCACTACGCCCCTGCGTAGAGTGTAACTATACAGTGTTGAATATTACTATGTTTAGACCATCATCACTATTTTTGCAAAAAAAAGATACAGAGGTTCCTTCAATTTCAAAACTTACGAATATTTTGCCCCCCAAAATTTATAGACTCTGTCTTTTTTTGTGTTGCAAACAATCCCATTTTTGTTCTATGTCAGTCACCTGATTTTGAAGGCTTTTTAATAAATACAGAATTCTCAGAACAACAATTTTTAACATTTATTTCTAAAGTTTCTGATTAATTCGGAGATAGGTCTCTTGTTAAATATGCGCCCTAGCTGGGAGGAATTTCACAAATTAGAAAAATATTTTTTGATTTCTCAAAATATTTTCTTTTCAGGGTTTTATATATTCATTTGAATTTTCTAAATTATAACGTTCAATATAAAGTCCAGACCAATTTATTGAATTTTTTTAAATCCGAAATTTTATGAGAGTATTTTCTTTTTGCAAACTTTTCTTTCCCATTGTTAAAATATATTATATATGATATATAAATATTTTTGTCTTCGGATTTCTTCAAGAATTCTTATTATCTTGAAAAACTTCCCTTTGCCCCACAATACTCTGAAAGACAGGAGGAGAAAGGGAAAAGGGAAGGGAAAGGGGGAAGGGGGCAGAGGGCAAAGATAAAGAGAAAGTTGATAAAGAAAGCTATAAAGTATTAAAACTGTTATCGATTTATTTTATTCCACCATTTGTCATTTTTCATTTTTGGTCGTTATTATACAAAACTTATTTTTACAGTGAATATTCAATAAAGAGATGCTTTCTCATTTTACATAGGATTCTTCTCCTTCAGTCTACCCCCCCCCCCTGCAGTCACCACGGTAGGCCACCAACCTCCCCCCCCCTACCCTCCTCAGGGCATTGTCAGCCTAGGATCTGACCCTTGGGATACATTCAGTCCAGCTAGTCCTATCAGGCAGGTATATAGTCCTTCATAGTCTATACATAGTCCTATTTAACAGTATATAGTCCATACATAGTCCACAGAGTCTCATTAGACAGGTATATAGTCCTTACATAGTCTATTCATTGTCCTATCAGACAGGTATATAGTCCTTCATAGTCTATACATAGTCCTATTAAACAGTATATAGTCCATACATGGTCCACAGAGTCCTATTAGACAGGTATATAGTCCATACATAGTACACAGAGTTCTTTTAGACAGGTATGTAGTCCTTACATAGTCTATTCATTGTCCAATTAGACAGGTATATATTCCTTCATAGTCTATACATAGTTCTATTAAACAGGTATATAGTCTTTACATAGTCTATTCATTGTCCAACTCCAATTAGACAGGTATATAGTCCTTTATAGTCTTACATCGTCCTAATAGACAGGTATATAGTCCTTGTATACTCTATACATGGTGCTATCAAACAAAGTGTATAGTCTATATATATATATACAGTCTAATCAGACAGGTTTATAATCATAATTCTACGAGACAGGTATATAGTCAATACAAATTCCTATCCTATTTGAATTATCAAAATTATCAGAAATCAATACTTTTAACCTCCTCGGATACTAAACGAACACCAATGCATCTATTCTTATTTAAGAATTCCGCCCAGAGAGAACTGGTTTCAATATGTACGCAAAGTATACGCAACTGCAATTAACTTTCCTTGCATTATAACCTTGGTCCAAACATAGTCCATATCAGTCAAGCAAGTTTCTGTATTCCAAATTATAAGATTTTTTTTCTTTTTAACAGATCTAGGACATTTTTTAAATGACTGTAAACAATTTTGTCTTCTTAACTATTTTATTTTTAACTATTTTAACTTCTGAACTATTTTATTTATATTTTATTATTCTTCTTAACTTATTTTATTTTCTTTTATTAAAGGAACTGGTAACTCGCCAGAAACATATTTTTTTATCATATATTGTATGTTTGATAAATATTGGTCAAATTATTAAGCAAATTTTATTTTGCAAACCGTACTTTCTAAATAGAAAAGATGATTGTATGACCCTGGTATAAAAGGGAAAATACTTCCTCCCCCCCCACCCCGTTCGCTGTTATTTTAGTGATATTTCCATACCAAACAATTAGACCTGAATATTTTTCTTTCAAGCAATACAATCCCAGTGTCCTATTATAGCATACCTAAAATTTCAAGCCTAATATTCACGCTAACTAAATCTTGTACACTGAAATTATGAAGGTCAGGGGCGTATTCAGAAATTTTTCCAGGGGGGCTTAAATTTTTTATCTTTCCAGGAGGGCTCAGCACCAGTCTGGGCCTGAAAACCCCCTAAAATCAATAGATTTCACTGGTTCAGGAGGGTGGCTTAGCCCCCATAGCCCCCCCCCCTGAATACACCCCTGAATTGAAGGTTATACAACATACAATCCTATATTATACATTCTCTGTTACATATCAGTCCAGGGATGTCGTAATAATACAATTTCAAGGAGTGTACTAACTATTAACATTTTCGGTTTATGGAATAAAGCAGCTAAAAGCATGTATCTATTGTAGACTGTTCTTATAAAAATAGAGAATTACAGGCAGTCATTTAATTTTAATCGAGATATAACATAATTAATAATAATTGAATAGAATTTGGTGCATAATGATTTCTAGTTTTTCTTCATATCTTTTAACCAGTTCTGGCTAGCGTACTTTGTACCGTGTACTTGATGAAAAGATAGTAAAGAGGGGGGCACCCTGGCCACCATGAGC